TGATTACGTCCACTACACGGAGATCGCGACAGAGGGCTTGCCAAATATAAGCAGTGACACTATCAGCTTAAGGATCCTCGCCTTCCCCCGACCTATGCTATGGTCCTGACAAATCGCCGTGCTTCTCTCTCTAGTACTTTCCCATCCAGAGAGTATTGAGGAGTGCTCTAAACGGAGGTGTTGTCCTTTCTCGTCGAGGGTACCGCGATGTGGGATTCACACCGAAAGTTTTTAACATCCTGGTTTATGAGCTTCTGCTTCTTGGGCGCCAAGAGAAATCAACCTCCCAGTTTTTCACTGACCAGTAAGACTTCTTTGAGTTTTGTACGGCCGCTACTAAGTTTTTAAAAATACTCTGCATTATTAATGAGACTCCCGTGTTCACGTAAGGATCGCTCGACTCTGAATCCATAAGATATACTTCTCATTGACACATATTCCTTCAAGAGTCGTTGACCTGTATATACATGCCTCGCCGACTTGTACAACAAGTGCAAAAGTGAGTCTCAGCTCTCGATTCCCGATCGGAGTTAGATTAGCCTATACACTGTATACTCCACCTAGTCTTTCTTCACGTCCATAGAGGTATGTGTACCGATTCCTTTTCGCTAGCCATCGTTTGCTCTGTGCTGCTCCGCCCATCAGCACACCCCACAGCGACACTTAGACAAGTAACTCCGAAAGATACACCCTCCAGACCGCGCCCACTGTAAAAATAAACTTTTAACATATTTTCAGGCGAGAAAGTAGCTGTGTAAACATCAAATATCTGCTCGGTTTATCAAGATATCGCATCTTTGCTAAAGTGCTTCGACGTTTTCGGAGACGTCTGCTACCCACCAGCTCGATAGCTAGCCGGGAGCTCGAGGGTTACTGATGCGGCCGAGAATGGCACAACTCCCGGCACATCATTTTCAGATCACCGCGGACTTTCGCTGCTCGGGTTAAACGTTGTCAGCCGGTGATCAGCTGTGATCAGCTGATCACGGGGCCGGGGTTAAAAGAGAGACGCCACCCACCTGTTCGCCGCTCAGACATCATTCTCTTCGTGTCAGGAGCTCCGAAACTCTGCCGACGTCAGTCTCCGCCTGATTCAGCAACCGTGAGTGATTATCCCTTTCAATCTTGCGTTTACTTCCGGCCTACCCGATCTTCTGAGGACCCGGCCCACGTAGACCGCGAAGGCCGACTCCTCAGGAGGATGTAGCCCATGAATTTGGACACGACCACTGTGACCTCCACCATCAGTCCTTTGAAACTCTGACCTTTGGACGTCCATCAGCACTTCCTGACAAACAGGAACCAGTTAGAGAGCTGGAAAACACACTTCCTCCACTGTCATGACAAACACGGGACCATGCAGAGCTGAGAGCTCAGTCACCCTCTGTGCTGCTTAGCTAGTCGTGGCTGTGTCAAAGCTTTAATATCCATGTTATATTCTTACATACACTAAACAGCATTACTGACTACAACAGCATCATGTTTGTTTTAGTGTAGCAAGCTACCACGTAGCATTACAACCAAACCACACCTGGAAACCCAGTCAAGCGTTCGTGTTAGCAGGCTGCAGACTGGGCGGAATGGTTGTAAACCAGTTGTTTATGTCACTGCAAACCTGATATGGTTGCCCCGTAAACCGCTTCACTTTTGTACAGTGGGAGGAAGCAGAGCCACATGGTCACCTTCCTGGGTCTCCTTACCTGGATTACATCCATCAAAACATCCTTGTGATGGTTGGTACTACACGCCCCACACTCAGCTTTTAATGCAACAACAAAAACATCCAAGCTTTTACTTAAGGTCCTTAAGCTCATGTATACCAGTCCTACCATCCCAGTTTGAGCACTGGCACAGACTGGTATCCATCTAACGTTTTGGTAAACCTGAAGCTTTCTTTGTGGGTTTCTTTGTGACGGGATGAGTGCGCGAAGAAGACGGTGGGACACGCACCTGCACCATGCTACTAATGACCATCGGCAGCATGTTGAGAGGAAAACGCAGGATGTTGAAGAGCGCCAGCGACACAAAGGCCTTCTGGGCGTCCAGCACGTTTTGTTCATCAATCAGCACGTACACAGCGAAGGTTGACAGGGCCACCTGTGCAGTGATGCAAAAGACATCGCAATGAGAATTTCATTAATGACAGCAAAGTGCTGTGTTTGGTTTAACTGATCTTCAGCTGCTCTCTGGATGTGTGTAATGTTTGTCCACTGTGGTGTGTCGCTCTCTTCCCCGTCAGACTTACAAGGAATGGTGCACAGACCCAGGTGAAGGTGGACACCGCCCCCAGGTAGGCAGCCTTTTTCAGGACACGCAGCTCACTTTCACGAATGTCTGACACCTTTCCTTTGAAGGCCAGCTCCCAGGCATACAGCTTCAGCACTTTGATGCCATTCAGCATCTCATTCATCAGCTTAATGCGATTGTCTTTATTCTTCATCTGAGCCACCTGCAACAAACACACAACACTGTGCTACAAACAGCTACCAGCTAACAACGTGTGTGTGTGTGTGTGTGTGTGTGTGTGTGTGTGTGTGTGTGTGTGTGTGTGT